CTTTTAATACATCGGTGATATTTTTGTTGAGATTATTCGGATTATTCAATTTTTCCTCCTCCTTAAGCTCTTCTTCATAATGGTTATCTTCATTACTTTCTCATCCATCATTTTATTCTTCTTCTGAAGTATTATTAAATTCAGAATCAATAGTACAATTATTACTATCTTCTTGAATAAACTCATTAAATTCCTCCTTTTACACATTTTCATTAAAGTCTCTTTCTAACAATTCTTGTAATTTTATAATTTCACATTCTTTATGCAATAATTCATGCATCCTTTTAATTTCTTCATGTATTGCAAATGTAAGATTTTTTCATCTCAGATCTAATAGACTTACCATAAGTCTAATCTGTAATTAGTATAATAAAAGAATTTAAAGTTATTAAAAACTAAAATCAAAAAAAAATTTGAAAAAATATTATAATAAATATTTACATTCTTCTAAACTGACTAATAATATTTAATAGCCCTATATAATATTTATTTCACTTTTATTTTAACTTCTATTAGATCAAATGGACTTGATATATCAATTAGTTTCTTCTTTTTATAATATCAGCCATTTGTATCAATATAGAATTCATACTCAATATTACCAATATTGTTTTTATTATCACTTTTATTCTATAAAGCTTTAAAAACTATATTGTCATTGTTATAATCTGTATTTTCAAGATAATCTAACCTAAAATCAATACCAGTATATATTCTTTTTAATAGCAATACTAAAGTTGAATACATAAGATTTAGCATTACATATTTACTATCACTATAATTAAAAATTAAATATCAATAAAATATTATAGAAAAATATTCATAAAACATATATAAAAATTAAAATAAAAAATTACCTAAGTTTTTGTATTACTTTTTTAATAGGTTGTAGAATATTTAAAAGAAATTTCATAAAACTCTATTCCTTATTTGTTAATATGATAAAATTAAGTCTTCTTCTATTATCAATATTCATTAAAAGTAAACTAATATCTAATTAATTTTTTACTATTGTAATTGCAAACCACAATTTTAAAAGATGCTCACATACATAAAATATAGAATTTTAACAGGTAATAACATCTGTTTTTACCTTTAAAACTTTTTATACTCTTTTATTCATCTTTTATACTTTTTTCAGTTATTATGTTTGTTTAGTTAAACCTAAAAAAAATGAATTAATGTATTTACATAAGTAATGAGTTTAAGATATAGCTTTAAGCATTTTCTATAGCTAATTGTAATGTATAAGTAATATATAGAATTCTAATTACGCCTGAAATTACATCTATTGCTTCAATCATGTTAGATTCATTATTACAGATCATTGTTATAAATTTTGATTTCAAATTCCAATTATGAAAATATTTTTCTATCTTAGCTTTAACTTTCTTACTTATATGTAGATGATCAAATTATTCAATAGATAAAAAAATTTCTTTAATATCAAAATTTGAGTTACACTAAGTTTTAATAATACCAATATAAGAATGATAATTTCTTAAAGACTAGCAATCTGCAGTCAAAGTAACAGATTTAGCTTTCTTTTCAATTAAATCATATAATTCCTGATAGGTATAATTGTAAAATTTTAATAACATTTCATAAATTTTATGATCAGAAGGTAAAGTAACGTGCAAATTAAAAAATTAAGCAATTTGTTAAAACTAAGCTTTTTTACACAACTGATAGGCTGTATATCTTCCAAAATATAGTTCAAAACTTCTTGATGATAGCATGTTTATACTTTATTAGAATATGCTTTAGAATTAGCAGATTTATCATAGTTGTGATCTTTACTTACTTTAATTTGTCCTATATTTATGAAATATGATTATTTTTAATGTGAAAAAAATATATTCATTATAGATATAAAAAAGATGCAGTACTTTATTTTTAATATATGAAGCTGATGAATTTTTTATTAAAATATATTTACAGGTTAGATGGTTAATAAAATTATCAGTTAATCCAGTATAAAGGATTTTTACTTCACATTTTATTTCACCATTTTCAATAACTTTACATTGAGCAAATATACTTTTTATATTATTATTGCTAATTTTAAAATAATTCCAAATCTAACTGATTTATGCCTTAGTAGTATTTTGCTTAATTTTATCCTTTTTAGCAAATGGTTAATTAGTATTTTGTCTTTGCATAGCAGTTGAACTGCTTTCTACTATATTACTATTAAATTCGTATTTATTAATAATTTCTTTTCTTTTATTATTATTACAAAACATATTTAATAAAAAAAAAATTTTTTTTAAAAAAAAGTGGTGATAAATGATTAAATATAATCTCATTTATTTGTTACACTATTTACAAATTAACTTTATAAAGATCATAGCATCATACATTTATTTACTATACTTAGTAATAAAACAAATTCATGAATTCAATTCAAATTTTTGTATTTAAAAATTATATAATCAATATAAATTACTCAGATTATATCTGAATTAATCCTTATAAATATAAAATAGATATAAAATAGATATTACCTGTTTTTATCCACTTGCAATTTTATGACTCAGATATTCATAATATCTAGGTATATTTAGATTGTATCTGAGTAAATGAGTAAATAGGTAAAAGATTATAGCTCTAGTAAGCAGAAGATTTATTTTATATTTAGTTTTAGAAGAATATCAAATGCTTAACAGTTTATTTAAAAAATCTATAATAATGAAGTACTGCTTCAGTTGACGCTTTGTACTATACAAATATGTTAAAAATTAAACTAAACTATCTTATTATTTTTTATCTGACATATTACTAAGCTAAAAGAAAATGTCCTCTATTTACAGTATATAAAATGAAATACATAAAGTTATCAAAGATATAAAAGAAATAAATAAAATATATGAAATAAATAAAATATAATAAATATATAGTATAAATAGAATAAAATAAATAAATAAAATATAATAAATAAAAGAAATATATGCTATAGATGACATAGAAGATGTATAAAATATATATGATTTCTTAGGAATCAATGTTATCCTTTTGATCATCATCATCTATGTCTTTTTTGTGTAATATAATTATTTTTAATTATTTTTAATTATTTTAAAATATATTATTAAAAATTAATACTTTATAATAAATTTTATGATACTTTTTTAAGTAAACATTAAAAAAAAATATAATTAACTAGTAATTTTTTTTAAAAATAAATAGATAATAAATTATTATAAAGAAAATTAAAATTTTAAACTCATATATCTTATTATCAATTAATCTTAAAAATATAAAAATACTACTATTTAATAGATCTTAAGATGATAAATTTAATAAATTAAATTTTAAATTTTTGTAATTATTAAATAATAAATTATTTTTAAAAATTAAAAAATTAAAAAATTAATATATATTAATAATTATGA